GAGTGGAAATGAGAGGATTAAGCCAATTAAGGGTAATAAGCACTCACGCAGTAGCTATTTCCTCCTGAATGCGCTCAGCATACAACATGCTGTCCTCCAGCATAAAGTCGGGAGATGACAGGCTAGTTTTAATGTGTTCCGTGCAACCATTCTCTTTATTGGAACTTAGAGAGCATTCTGGGCAAAGCAGCTAAAATAGGAAAAATCGATATTTGGGAGAGAAGAATTTCAACCCACCTATCGTTTCAAACGCATACCTCATCACATAACTTGCAACGGCTCTCATACCGGCGCAGGTGATTCCAGCACTGAACATACTTCAGAGGAAGGGGAACTCGAGAGGAACTTTCCTGCAAAAAGTCCTTATTCATTTTGACGACAATATCATGATCATATTCCCCTACGAGAATAACTGGGCAAGCGTGGTGTTGTACCCTGCGCGAGAAAACCCAACTCATTTGTCATTCGCCACCGCACGCTGGTAACGACACACTTACATGTCAAGAACGGTGTCAAACAAGAATTAATTAGTCTTGAAATTCCTGACATGTACTTTTTTCTACACTGATAACGCTGACATTGGCTGTAATCTAAAGAACTGCGGCCTATTTCAAATTGTAACACACCATTTTTTATGAGATTCCGAAATGAAACTGGTTCGTGACGTTAACTACGAAGTAGCGTGACAACAGTGATAACTGAAGCGGTTATAACAAGTGGTATCAACCAGTATTTGATCAACAAGTCTCTAGTCAATTGAAAAATAATCAGATTCCTAATCGCACAATTCACATCATTTCCTAAGGGAGGTTTAGGTTTGAAATCAATCTTCCACTGGGTTGACGGTTAGAATCTTAGACATAACTGGCTGCTTTCAGACGCCAACGACTGACCGACCGACCGACCGACCGACGGCCACGTGGTGACAATACTGGACAGATTGCCTTCGACTGGCCAGTGCTGTCCCCAGGTGAACAGCGAGCGCCGTCGGTCGATCGGTCGGTCGTTGCAGTCCGAATGCAGCCACTCGAATAGGTTGGAAAGATTAAATCCAGAGTATCGCCTGACTTATAGATGGTTTAGCGGAGAGGAATGCCTCTTTCCAAGCCTTTAACAGAGTGGGTTGTTCCAATCCAAAAGTCTCAGCCTAATATGAAAGTACGTCAGAAGAACAAATTCCCAGAATGAACACACGGTCAATAGACGGATCATTTATAACATACAGGTTCCTTGAACAGTATCCAAATGAAGACAGTTTTGAGTGAAGTACTGAAACGTTTACCTAACACCCAGAAGACACGAACCTTCTTAATAAAATGTGACAGGCGGCTATGTTCATCGGCACATTTGATACACAGCCTAAATGTGGATTCATGTGAAAAATAAGCAAAAGAGTACATAATTTGAATAACAAATAAGGAGAACGAGTGGACAGCTTTTATACTTTAAGCAGGCAGCTAAGCGGAAGACATTGACGTTGGTAGCTTGCAGTCGATTGAACGATTAAGCCTTACACAATTATTGTTTAGTGGTTTGTACTAGGTGCGGCTTTGCTTCCCACAGCAAACTATTTTGCCCCTTCTCAGTTCCATTTTCAAAACGCTTCTCCACAGCAGGGGACCTCGATAAGAATCTCATCGTATCACACTGACAGGATTGAAGCTTGGAGTGCTATAGAAAAAGAAGGAAGCAGAAAAAGCATTTCAGGAGTCCCTTAAGCGCATTGAGTCCTAGTATAAGCCATCGATCGCGCGGATCGTCGCCCACGCCTTTTGCTCATCGGTTTGCGCCAAGTATAAAGACGGTCATAAGACTGCCATGGACGACTACACTTGGCGCCCATCGGTTTGCCAATTTCAAGCCTATCCATATAATGTGCAGGGTAAGAAAAAGCAAATGGCAAGAAAACGAAAACTCTAAAAAAGCTGTCTTGATGGGTATTCGGCTCAAATACAGAAAAGAAATGGAAAACCCACTTCATACAGCACTGCTTGCATTCATAACCGGCTGCCTGAGCACAACTGTTGCATGAGCTGAACTTTAAAATTTGAATTCATCTACACGCTAGAAACGGGAAAAAGGTTTCGACTCACGTTGATGGTCCAACATCGTCCAACGTTGGAAGTATTGCAAAAGTCACTGTCGATCGGCAAAGCACGCACTTAACGTACCCGCGTTTTTCTGCTTGAAACGATGTTAAGCCTAAAATGAAAAAAAGACCTGTTTACTGGGACGTATGCCATAAACACACATTTAACGATTGTTTCGTTTCACGGAGGGAGTGACGTTTCCACTAGGTCGCATTGAAGCGATGTTTTCGAAGGCAGCGACCATATTCGGTGAAAAGATGACGGTTTCTCGATGCCCTTTCAAAAGCTCTACTGACGCAAACAATCGAGAACGTCGACATAGAGAAGGTGAGGCAGGGTAGAGGATGAAAATCCCCGATCAAGGACGCTGGTATTGACAGCAACGCAAGTTGAAGGGGGACGAAACATTCACCCAAAACTGGATGGACGCGGCAAATGGCACGGCGAGATTCGTGACGTTTAGGACGACTTTGGCACCTATCAATGGGGCGCAAACTTGCAGTGGAGTACATTACCATGGTCAGATAATCGTAGTAATTGGCTCTGATTCAAATTTAGACCCCAGTAATAGGTGCTAAAGCCGTTTGAATCGCCACGAGTTTCGCCGCGTCCATCCAGTTCTGAGTAAATGTACTCATACCCCAAGTTGAATAGAGCCCTAATCATGACTTTTTTATGAACAACTGAGAGCTTGAGCCAGTTAACTCAAAGATTTAAAACCTGAAAAAGGAAAATGAAAAATAATAGAGAAACCTCACCCAATTTTTTAAAACATTCATCACACACGACATGGGCGCAAGATAGTACAACTGAATGAGCACTGGTTGTCTCGCTACGCTGAAGGAAGCCAGTAATATCGTTTGAGCACATCTGCAATTGAACAGATCCAAAGATGGGCATAAGTTTGCCTTGCCAACTGAGGAAAAATCGCGAACAGCTCACCAAAAATTAGAAGCGAAATTTCAATCTCAAAATAGAAAACCATAAAAGTAGAAGGGATAGTCTACTCATCGAAAAAAAGTTTAAAAGTAAAAGAGGTTTAATAGGGAACGATGAAAGCCAAATACTTGACTTACTGAGCATTTTTGGAATGGATCGCTCTTCGGTGGTAGACGTCGCTGAGAGGAAGTGGAAGACTGTGAGCCACGCTTCCGTAGATTTGTTCTGAGGATTGGTTTCTCTCCATACGACCACATTACGGTAGTGGTGTTGATCTGAAAATAAACTGCTATGAATAGTTATTCATGGTACAAGCGCAAATCAAACGAAGAAATGTATTAAAAGGGAGCATCGCCGTTCATTACCGATGAATTCTTTTCGAAACAATAGGAAAATACTTGGTTTTTAAAGATCTGATAGGGAAGCTCCCATATTATATGTATGACCTAAACTCTTGCCAATAACCATGAACACCTTTTTTTGAACATGTCCACATCCTAAGAGCTAGATGGGAGGGTTTTTAGGTCAGATTGGTGGGGTGCACGGGAATCGGTGCATGAGCAGTCGCTGGCCTTCGACTTCAAAGAACACCAATAAATCTACAACTGTTGCTCGGGGTGAGGGCTACAGCACTTCCAAGCTGATCTCTATCAGTATGCATGACTTTTAAAAGTGAAGAGGACTAACTATTCAGTTTTTCATTCAATTACAACAAAAAAAAAATTCAAAAAAGTACGAAAGGAAATACTTCATTACTGGTATTATAGGCCTAATTGTCAAGCAAACATTCAAACAGATTATAAAAAATAACCAAGCAACTTCGGAGCAGCTTCAGTGAAGCGAGAAGCAAGTTTCCTAGCTGCAATGATCTCCGAAACTCGGGGAAAATCCACTTTACCTTGTTGGAAACTTCATGAAAATCACTATGAAGGTCCCTACGGTAATTCCCATTACCTCAGGGTTGCATCTATTATAACTTATATACAACTGCTTTTGCCATTTTCTATTGCTATTCTTTACAAAGAAAAATAGATTCTCGTTTATGCAGAACTCCATTGCATGTAGAGACTACATTATGGCAAATTTACTGCGAAAGTTCATTCACTTAATATTTACTGAGTTCATTCTGTCAGACAGTGTGCTTACTTTACAAACTTCAGATGATAATGTAGTGCCCACTGTAATAACTAAATAAGGTCTGCCTCCAAAAAACAACAACAAAAGAAAAGAATTAATCAACAGACCTGTAGCAAACAGCCCAAATATCAACGCAGCGGCGCCGCTGACCTTGTTGATTGGTGGGCATTCGCATTAGAGCACGGAATTGTGTGTGCTATATCTCCCGTTAGCATCTTGATATGATGAGGAAGTGTAAAAACAAGAACGAAGGTTTAATTTAGATACAATTAGTTACCGTGATCTCACTACTGCATTATGTTACATCTATTGGTGAAATTACGTAAAATGGTACGCATTAGTTGCCTAGCTTTAGTATGAGGCACTAGTTCCAGTAAAAACTGATCTGTCAAAATAACGAGCTCCTGAAAGCGGATTCATTTTCAAGCTGGAAACCTTAACAATGAAACTATGTAGTAAGAGCTTCCTGAATGGATGGCTATTGGAATTCCTTGGAAGCCTAACGGTGAGAGCTATGCTGCGTACTGGCACTAGGCAGGACGAAATATTTTGACGTCAATTAAGCTTGACTGGGGGATACGCCCTGCATTTGACTCCTATACAAAATCGTAGTGGTGTATTAAGTGCGTATGTGTTTCAAACAATTATTTACGATGGACGGGCGATGCACAATTCAGTGCTTTTGACCTAGCAGATGAGTCTGGCACCAATAAACCGACCCCGGATGGACGAAGGCTCCCTTGGTCTAGGCGTCGATAAGGGATTCGAACACGTGACCATGCATGTGTGAAGTACGCCGCTTGCCACTACGCCACCTCCGCCTTGTAATTAGCAGTGCCTGAAATTATAGGTCGGTTGTAGAAAAAGCCACCATGGTCGTGTACTTTTGTCATGTACAAAAACGTTGTTCATTGCCCATTTCTGGGCTCTGACGGCCAGTCAACCAAGCTGATGATCCCTTAGCTTCAGCCCTCCCCCCCCTCCCCTCTCCCTAAAGCAGGCAATTAACTAATTACCCCATATCGTCTGACCCGGAATGCATGAAAACAGACTTTTTCAGTACCTATCACTCCAGAGCTATGATGGCGACCGTCAATCACCTAGGATGGTGTTCGCTTGGCTTCCCTACCTTCCATTTCGGCAAGAACGGCTTCACTTAACCAACTTCCTCATATCTGAATAAGTACAGCTGTTCCCATTAGACTGATGTTGAAATTTCATCAGGAATAGCCAACGATTTCTACTCATCTATCAGAAACCTTCACAGATTTTAGATTATTTTCGGAAGCTTCACCTAGGTAAGGTACCCTTCTTTTTCTCTTCTATTATTACGGAACTTGTGCACCGTTGTCTGCTAGGTTGTCGAAAAAATTTTCAGCTCGGTCTTATGTACCCCTTCTGAA